AGACACTTTAGTTAACATGGCTGATTACTTTTAGATTCTAAAATACACTCCACCTTTCCAGCATTAACCACTTGAAGTAATTGTATTATAACACCACGAAAAAAAATAAAGCTAACTCATAAACGTTTTTTTGTTCTGTAAATCAGCCTATTGTTAATTTATGAAATTAAAACTGTCAGTGGACTGGCATGAGGGATAATAGGTTGTTCTCCTAAAAGCCTTTTTTTGTAAAGTTTGTTTGAAAAGCACAATTTAAATCTTTTTTTTTTTTATGGTTTTAACTGTTTTAGCTTTTCATTATACAGAATGCTGTGTATCCAAGAAGAACTTAACCAACTGAGTGTGGAAATTCAACATTCTAAGTCCCCTCAAGGAACATTACAACCCACAGCAGTTACAACATGCCCCCCTAGATCTCCTAGTTACTATAGTTTAACAAATTCTGGAGGAGATCAGTCACAGCCAAAAGGAAAGGATGGTGGCATTGAATTTCATGACAGAAGTAGCCGATCTTCTGGGTGGTTTGATGGTCTACTAGGATGTTTGAAACCAGTTTGGAGCATTCTTGGCAAATCTGGTAACAATGAAAGTAAAGGTGAGAAATTATTCCATTTTATATCCATCATTATATTTTCAGTATATAAACATTTTAAAGGTGGGAAAAATGTAGTTAAGGTGACAGTTTTGACACCACCAATTTCAAAAAATTAATTATACTTCTCAAAAGATATTAGTATTAGGCCTATTATATTTTTTAACACAACATTCTTTATTCAGTCCCTTAGTGATTTTCAAAAAGAAGAAAAAGAAAAACCCTGGGGGTCTGAATAAAGAATGTTTTGTTAAAAATTATAATAGGCCTAACACTAATGCCTTTTATAAGTATAATTAATTATAATCATGCATCATCAGCTTAAGAAAGACATCAACACTGTTACTTCACAAATTCATTGTTTTCTAACACTAATATATATAAACTAAAATTCTGAATCTAAACATTTCAGTTATAATTTTATTGTGTTAGGTGATTTGAGTGAAGAGATACAGAGAATTTGTTTAAAGCTTAATGGTATCATTTGTCTTCATAAAAATAATAATGAGATACCAATTGGGAAGGGGATTAATTAGAAAAACAAAACTCCATGTGAAGTTTTTAATGTACTAATGCATTTTTCAAATGTAATTGTTTTAACAGATGAATGGGAAATACCATTTGAAAATATAAGAGACTTGCAATGGTTAGGTAGTGGAGCTCAGGGTGCTGTTTTTAAGGGTCATTTGAATAATGAAATGGTTGCCGTAAAGAAAGTGCGTGAAAAATCAGAAACTGATATTAAACATCTTCGAAAGTTGAATCATCCCAATGTTGTATCAATCAAGTAAGTTTTCTGTTTCATTTGTTTTGAGCTATCGCTTTGAACTTTGTATAGAAATATTTTGAAGTTCAAAATAATACTCTGAGTAGTTTTCAGTATGTGTTTTTGTATTTATGTATTATTATGTATTTATTCAAGGTTTAGCAAATAAGTATAACAAAATCCTCATGCCTTTCTTATACTTTGAAGGTTATTTTTTCACCCAAATGTTTAAGATGTTCTCTTTAAAGTTAATGTTACAGAAGCATTAATTGTTATATTTAAAAAAATACAGGTATACAGTCCAAAATAACTAAGAAACTATATTTCATTTTAAAATTACGAATATAATAATAATAAACACCCAAATTAATAAACCTTATCTGTAAAGTAGAAAAAGAGTGAGTTAACCTTAGAATTTTTGATAGGGTCCATATGATCCCATAGATTTTTGAAGCACATTTTTTAAAACTATTTTACAAAATTGCTTGTGGGCTTAAGTTGGTTATAAAGTTTCAAATAACAAAGTATGGCTCGAAAACACCATTAATACTGCAGTTAATTCCACTAATTATCACTAGGTTTCCCTTACATATTTTACATAGAAAGTGAGTGAGACAAGCAAAAACAAAAATTTATTTAATAAGATGCAGTATGTGGACCTTACTGGTAGTAGTGAACTCTATAAAAGCAAGGCGATAATTTTAGGGTAAAATGATGATAGTTACTTTGTTTTTTCTAGTTTAGCTATACCTCTGGTTTGAAATACTAAGGAAAACCTTTTCATCTACAAACAATTGTTTTTGTTTAAGTTATGCAAAATATACTTAACAGGAACCGTTCAAATGTTGTTTAGAAAGAAGGTATATGAAATATTTAATAGTTGTTTTAAGTGATACTGAGGGAAGACTGGACTGAAATCAGACAATGCTTATGTTTAGTTTGGATGTTAAATCAGTATTTTTCTATTGAAGACTGTTTAATATTAACTTATGATTACTATTAAAAGTTTTTTTATGACCAAAAATAATCATAAAAGTGTTGAAGTGATTGAATTATGTACATATGTGCTTTCCCAAAATTTACATAAAAATCAGATCTGAAAAGAAAGTGAACACAGCCTTGTAAAAAAGAAAAGCTAAAATATATTCTAGAAATGTAGCTTTATGTAACCAGAATAGAGAACAGTGAAATTATAAATGTAGACTAAATATTTTACATAAAAAATAAAATTGTACTCATCCAGAGCTGTCACTGAGATGATGTCTGATTAAGAAGCAAATTCATGTATCTAGACCAGTCAGCTTAGAAATGTTCTTCAACAAGTGGAAAAAGTTAGAGAAAGAATTCTGATCTGATTAGATGCAGAAAGTGAAGACTTTTGAAGTAAACATTCAGTGAAGACAAACCACTTGAATAATTTGGCAAGTTACCCAAAAGTGATAAAACACAAATTTTAATTCTTGTAACTTTGATAAACCAAGTTATTTTATATTTTAGAAAGAAAATGTAACATCTGTATGTTTTAAACAAGAGATAAATTTGTACATTTTGAGAGAAATGTATGAAGTGCTGCCAAACTGTTAAGAATTTAAGAAATGTTGCTTATATTTAAGCTGGTCATGTACAGCTGAGATGCGAGTTAGATTCACTGTTGTCAGTTGTATTATTTATAATTATTGGTGCAAACACACAAATAAACATAATGGTATCAATGAAAAAAACAGTTCATTTGAATTTTGATAATAAACATTTTGTATACTTTATGACTTTTACACAAGTTGTAGTCGGATGCAATACAGCAAAGCAACTTCATAAACATAATGCTGGTGTGGTAATTTAATTTTATCAAGGTATTTGTATTTCTTCACCTTGGATTTGAACCTGAAACCTGTCTCTAACCCTTC